CTGGGCGCGGCGGTTAGCGCTTTCCTGCGCGCTGCAGTCACCGGAGCGGTGCTGTGCGGCTTTCCCGCCGGGCCTGGAAACGCTGTCGCCTGGATGCTGATCGTTTAGGTAGCATGGTTTCTGTTGGTCCAGTGTCATTCGGTGTTTTGGGAAGATCTTGCTGTTGCAGGATCTCTTTCCAAAGGATTTTTTTCCGAAATTTTGAATTGCTCTCCAGGTAACTTACAGACATCGTTAAAGAAGCAGATTGTACCTGGTGGTGTGGTTGCTGCGAGGTCAGTCTGCTCCCAAAACTACTAAAATTGGTTATGGAAACCATTTTGGGGCACATTCTATCCGGTGCAAGGCTTCGGTGTTTCGTAGTTGAGCAAATCTTCAAACGTTTCTGAACATTGCTGCTGTATTTGCTTCCCATGGCAGCTTCCCAGAACCAGAATTAGAAGATATTTGTGTTTCTTACTGTGTTTGTTTCTATTTCTTAATGGATGTGTGTGCTGCTTCTCCTGCCTTGACCAGCAGACAGACAGATAAGAAGAGGATGACTCATTAACACTTCTTCCACATACACAGGGCTATTCAGAGACATGTCATATGTTGTCAGCTTGAGTAGATTGGATTTTAAAAGTTTGTTAGTGGTTTGTGTAGCATCGTTTTTACGGGGTTATTTTATCTGCCAATAGCACACTTTTTTTCACTCCTTTTCTAGATGGCATCTGCTGAAGTTAGTACTCCTGTGCCGATGAGGGTGACTAGAAGAACAACTAAATCAATTCATAAGCCACAGGTGATTCAGGAGTCTCAGTTTGAAGAGGTGGAACATGCAGAAACAAAATCAGATGTCGGTGATAGCTTAGAGATGCAAATTACTAGAAATGAGAACACAGCTGTTCGTTCAGCACAGTTGGTTGCTGAACCACAAGCTGATGGGGATGTGTCAGAAACAGAATCAAACTGCTCTACTGTGTCTGGTATTCAGACACCTTTGTTGGTAAGAGTAACGAGAAGACGACAAATTGTAGTTCCTTATCAGCTGGATTCTCCTGACAAAAAAACACATGGCAAGACAGCTTTTCTAAATAAGTTAAACAAGATTCTGGATGAAGATGATGTCTCTGAAGCTGAGTCTTGTTCCTCTGCTGTTTCTGGTGTCCAGATGCCTAATGTTAGCAGAACTACAAGAAACAGGCAAAGCAAAAAGAAATTGCAACCAGATTCAGTTCGTGAAGCCCCAAGTAAAGATGTTTCTGATGCAGAGTCATGCTGCTTAAGTTCTCGTATGGAACTGTCCATCACTACCAAACGAATTACTAGGAGCATGCAAATGAAATCACGAGCAGAAAATACTAAGCAGACTGAGAAAGAAAATGTAATTGTTTCAGAAGATGAGAATTTAATTGAGGACACCGTTAAATCTGAGCCAGTAATAATTTCTGATTCTAGACCTGCTACTGAACTTATCTCTGAAACAGAAGATGCTTCCTCTGTCGTTGAGGATAATAAAACACCCGATTCACCTAAAAGCAAATGTTCTTCCAAATCTGCCAATACATCCCAGAATGAAGACATGAAAGGAGAGTCTTTGAATGATGTGACACCCAGTAGTCCTGCAAAAATGAAACAAAGTGACACTGAATCACCTAGAAAAAGAGCAATAAAAAATCCACAGACTGTTGAGGTAGACGATTCAGAGGAATCATGTGGCCAAGTGCAAGAACAACACCATAGAGTACTTGTGAAGGAGGGGAAATCTGAGCGCATGGATCTTTCTTTGACTGATTGCATGAGTCCCAAACAATGCTTAGAATCCCAAGGGCAAATAACACCAAATAAAAGTAAAAAAAATCCAGAATGCGAAAGAGCAGATGCTGAGGCAGATGCACAGCAGTCTTTCACTCATACTGATAAATTAAGAAAGGGTGAGCAATCTAGTGCAGTGAGCAGCCCCCAGAAGGATGTAGCTGTTGCACAAAGAACTGATAGTGTTGGTAGATGCAGGATGCTTGAAACCAGTGTAGGCAATGGTGAAGACCAAACAGGAGAACATGCTGAATCTGCATCCTATAGCAGGGAAAGGTCAAGTAGTGGAAACAATTCTGTTGCATTGTTTCTGAGCAAAGATGAAAGTGATCAATCTGAAAATAGTGATGTGGCGGAGATAGATACAGTTGAAGAGAATCTGTGTTATAAAGAGGCAGCTGAAAAGACTCCTGCCGTCAACAAATCTTTAAAAAACAGTTCACTGCACGCTGAAGGGCTTTTTGTAATTGATACTGAGCCTGGCATGAGCTCCAGCCAAAAGTATTACCTAGATCAAGTAGACCAAGATAGTGATGCTGAAAGTAAGCATGAAGGAAGTGAAAAAGTCAAAGAATCCTCAGATCTGGAAGAGGCTGAAGAGGAATTGATAGATGAAGATGAGGAGGATGAAGATGATGATCTGTTGAAAAATAAGAGTGGCGTGTAAGTATATTTTGAAATAATTAAAGAATCTGCATTACATTCAAGCATATCCATAGGATATGTACATTAAGTGTGAAATGGTGTGGAATAAATGAAGGAGTACTCTCATCATGTAAATCACATTGATATTGAAAGTGGAGTTGCACAGATTATAAAATAGAAATACAGTCCATAAATTCAGGGGGTTGGGATTTTTTTCAAGTTTGCATATAGCAGAACAGAACTCTGAAATAGTTAGGCATCTGGAGGCCTTGTATGTGTTCAGCTTAAAAAAACAGAATGTGAAACTGGGTTAAACTGGTCAGGCTGGCTTAATTGCTTATTCAGGTGATGGTTTTCTTAATTGCTGTTCTTTGGGGTTTTTTTGGTGTGGTTTTTTTGTTTGTTTGAACAGAAATAACAAAAAGTCCAGTAAATTCCTTGCACATTGTTTAATTAGATCATGTATTTTAATCCTAAACAGTCACATATACTTCTATGTATGTTTTCAATTCTTGTTGTTCTGTGGGATGGTGACACTTCAGGTG